CCCAGCTCGGAAGGAGTCAGCCAAGGAGAAGCAGCTGAAAGAGGAAGAGAAGATCCTGGAGAGTGTGGCAGAGGGCCGAGGTGAGTGGTGCGAGCTCCATGTTTCTCAGACCTGTTTCCAGCACTGTCAGGGCAGCAGTAGGGGTATTACCAGCCTTGCAACACTCAGGAGTGTTCATACTTGGGATGGGACAGGAGATCACAACAGGATCCTTCAGTCAGCCTGGCTTAGCTGAGAGGGTGCTGTAGCTGAGAGGGTGCTGTGGCAGGCCCCTAGGCACAGCAGGCTGCAGCAGTTGGTGTTCCTGTCCCCAGAGGGGCTGTCAGGGGTGCTGCTTTTCCTTCTCTTGTCTCTGGGCATGGCCTCCTGAATTGTTTACCCAAGTAGTTCTCTGCTGAAGTTAACGTGCATTTGGATGTGGAGAGTTTGCACTGACCTTGTCAGCTTTGTTCTTGCAGCTTTGATGTCGGTGAAGGAGATGGCAAAGGGCATCACCTATGATGATCCGATTAAAACCAGGTGCGTTTTGCAGTACAGAGGTTGTCTTCCTGAAAACATCGCTTCCTCACAGCTGAAGAAAACTAGAAGCTGTGCAGCCTCGTGGGAGGAGCACTGCTCTGTGGCCACTGGCTTTTCTCTTGCTCCACTGCTTGGGTTCTTACTGCTGTGTGTAGGATTGAAGGCTGTTGAGTCACCTTGGATGCTGTTTTGTACACAGTTAAGATTTGCTAGAGTATGATTATGTTACACTTAAAGACTTGAGGTGGATCTTCAGATCTGGGAGGTGACTAAGCTAGAGGAAGAGACTGGGGGAGACTACAGAGCCACCGCTGCTCCATGCAGTGTCAGAGAGATGATAGAGGCGTGTCCAAAAGTTTTTGGCATGTTCCACCCACCATCCATAGACAGGTCTCAGCTGTGAGCTTGGGACTTCTTACTGAGACTTTGGGGAAACGTTAAATGCACGGAACTGGTGTGGAGCTGCTCCCATGCTCACGCCATGAAGCCCCTTGGGGTTACCTGTTTTCCCTGGTGGGATATTGGAGGCCGATAGGGAGTTCCCCTGGGCTTCTGTGGGGGCTGCTGCTGCTGGAGCCCCAGCCTCATTCTGCACTATGACCTTTCTCTGTTGCCTTTGCAGCTGGAGAGCACCTCGTTACATCCTGGGCATGTCGGAGGCACGGCATGATCGTGTGCGCAAGAAGTACCACATCCTGGTGGAGGGGGAAGGCATCCCGCCCCCCATCAAGAGCTTTAAGGAGATGAAGTTCCCAGCAGGTGGGCTAGGAGAGGAACCTGGCAGGGTGGGGGACAGCATTCTCCTGGGAAACGCGCATCAGTGAGCGAAGCTGTTGGAGTTTTAATGCTTTGTGTTAGTGAGGTTGCAGCTTAAATCCCCAACAGTGGCTGTGTCACCTAGCTGTCGGCCCAAGGGGTGTTTGTCACTGGTAGAAGAGCCACTGTTGGGGTGTGAGTAGGA